ACACGCGCCGCCACGCGCCACCGAGAGGAGCTGCTGCTGGTTGATCACTCGCGCGCATGAGAGCGCGTGGAAGAATCGTTTTCCGACCAGTCAACGCCGTTGACTTCGCCGTGACGTCAGCTTTCCGGATTGGTCAAGTTTGTTCGATTCCGAGAAGATTTGATTTGCGGTCAACTGTTCGGGCCAGCCAGATCTACATAAATTTTAAGCAGTAAGTTTTCTTCATCAAACCTTTAGATCCGCTGCGCATAGGTTTATGTTGAATGTTTGTCCGTGATTTGTGCATATCGAGATCCTCGTGGGTTCCAACAGTCCATACATGTAAAATCCTTTCGACATCCAATTTCCCGATTAAATCTTGGGTATGATTTTGTCGAAACCCAAATTGATTTAATAATTATGATTCCATTTCAAGTTTAGTAATTCGTGTATGAATCTCTATTCATTCCGCCTTGGCCAAGGACTTTGAATTACTAACTATGAAACACATAAGAAATTCTCTTATCTTCATAAGTGTTGAATCCTTTGTTGACCACTGACAAACTTCCATACATATTAATATAATACCCAAAATATCCCTTTATACGATTGTGCTAGCAACCAAAAGGATAAATCAAAGTAGAATATAATATGCACAAAGTTACCATCGTGCCTCAAGTCTAAGGATTAGCCATATACTATTGTAACATGAAAATTCTTATTCGACAAGAAAAATCTATCATTAAGAATTTTCATACGGTCATATTCAGTGAAGTTGTTCTCTAACAAGCACTCATAGATATGTACTTGCGTCCCACACTAATGTTGATGGAATGCAACATTGTTGTCCAACAAGCATACATCATATGTGCATGTCTTTTCTGGATTATTCGATGTCCCATTTCGAAACATCCTACGACTTGGAACTGTATTTAAGATCACAGCTTGCAAGGTATGTTCGATGATCACCATCTCTATGCGCAACCATACCTTATAACCATAAGTGATCTAAGGATTTTATCTTAAGTGCAATTATAGGATAAAGCTTACTCTTAAGATAAAGTAATGCCTTATTAATAATATAATTCCA